CCGACCGCCTCCAGCCGCCCGAGCTCCAGGTCCGCCTTGAGCTCCTCCACTGCGACGACGGAACAGCGGTCAGCCGGCCGGCCCGGGGCAAGGGCGACGGCAGACACCGCTCGCCTCCCATGGCGCCCACGGGAGGGGAGGCTGAGAACCCGAAGGGCGAAGCCATGCGCCCAGAGAGGCCAGTCGGTGTCCCAGACAGGACTGAAGCCGGGTCACCTACTCCCAGCCCCCCAGATGAGGTAGAACGAAGGTGGAAGCCGGGAGTGGGGACACCTCTAAACCCATCGTTCCCACCCTCTCTGTGTCCTGGAAGGAGCAGGCCATCCGCTCAGTGAGCCCCCGCCCTGCCCAGGCCCTGGCCAGCTCTGACAGGGCCCCCAGCCCCACATGGGGCTCCGGCCTACCTGTGGGCAACCGGGCCGCTGGCCCAGGAGGGGCCTGGAGCTCGCCCTCCGGCTCCGCAGAGCTGGGCTGGCCCTTCTTCTTCTTCCCTTTGGTGAAGACGCTGAACATGTTGGCCAGGCCTTTCGTCTTCTTCTTCTTCTTCTTCTTCAAAGCCTCTTCCTCCTCCCTCTCCGGGGCTGCCTCGGCCTCCAGTCCGAGTGGTGGCACTAGGTCCTCGGAGGAGGCCTCCGACATGGAGGCCTCTGACCCAGCCTCTGACGTGGAGGGCTCCTTCTGGGGGCTTCCAAGGCGGTCAAGAACTCCTGGCACCGGCTGCTGGCCTGGGAGGCCTTGGAAGAGGGTCAGCATCTTCAGCATCGCCCTGGCTCAGGCCTGCAGGTTGGCGAGGGACGGGAGAACGAAGGGGTCAGCATGTGCGCAGCAGTTGAGCGCACAGGCCCAAGCACACAGTCGCGGAGGCAGCTCTAAATGAGCCTTATCTACTGTCACCCTCACGACTGCCAAGGCTCTGGCCTTCTTCCATCCGTGCCTGTGCCAGAGCACAGACAGCTCAGCTCCTTCCCTGGACACCAGCTTCTCATCTCGCACAGCAGCCCTTCCGACTCCGCTCCGCCACCCCCCCAGCCCCCGAATCTCTTGAGCAGGGAGGAAGCTGGGGGTGCCAAGCCTCCCGGATGGAGGGGCCCTCACTTCGTTTTTGGCAAACCCTTCCTCGATAGCCCATCCTCTGGGCAGGGGATCGCAGGACACGAAGGCACCCGAAATCCAGGAGCCCCTGGGGAGGGGCAGAGACTGGGCTACAGTCCCACTGCACAGAGCAAGAACAGCGGTCTGGGGACCTCACACAGGAACAGGGCGGCTGAGGCAGAGACCCAGCCCTGGCCCCGCCCTGCATCTCGCTGGGTTCTTGTCTTGTCTTGTCTGGCTATGGAGTCCCAGACGGATGCTATGAGCAGAAACCTGGCTGCTCCTGCTGGAACCGCGAGGTGAACAGAGCCCCATATCCGGGCCCCATATCCTGGCCCTGGGACTCAGTCTGAAGAAACCATAGCGCCCTCTCAAACTCCAGTGGCTGGGAAAGGACTTCGGAGAACCTTTCACGTGTCAGGTAGGGACAAGGGACCAATGGGCCATGGCTGCCTGTGGTCACACAGTAACTCAGACCAGGAACCCAGGCTTCCTGGCTCCTGCTTCACCCTGCATGGTCCCAAATGGGGTGACAGCATCATCACAAAAGCTTTCACTTCCTGGGCCCTTCCTGGATGCCCATCCCATCTCTTCCTCATTCACATCCAGGAAGGGTGTTACTGTCCTCACCCCACAAAACTGACCCAGGGAGGCGTAGAACACCCCTACGGCCAACAGCTTGGGCTTGGAACTCATCACCTGGCTCTGGGTGCCCCCGCCTCTGTGACCCCACCACCTCACGAGCTGCATTCAGAGATGGGGGACCCCCTTGTGCCCAGTAGCACCCTCCCAGCACCTTGACCATTTTTGTCAGAGCGCAGGATCAGTGGAGGGGAACATGACCGACCCCAGGGGAGAGAACAGGGATGGTCTCCCTGGTAACTGGGGTCATCTGTAATCTGAGTAGCTAGTCCACCACCCAAGAGTAAATACACCCAATCATGACTCATGGCACATTCTGACTTCGATTCTGCTTTGCAAAGGCTCTGCCAGGCAGGAGGAACCGGGGTGTGTGTGCGTGTGTGTGTGTGTGTGTGTGTTAGAGGGGGGCCTTGCCCTAAGCACACAGCAGGCGTGGTGGCTCAGATCAGGCCTGGGAGACTTTCTAGAGACCCTGTCACCTCCCCATCAGCCCACCTATCTTGTCGCATTCCCCCAGTGGCTCGTCCCAACCCCCTGAGCTTGGCCAACGCCACCTGGAGGGGCCAGGAAGCCTGGGTTCCTCCTACTGGCTCCACCAGGTGCCCTGGGCCAAGTCCTACAGTGGCCTCCCCTGTGCCATGCAGGTTGGAAGTTCCACTACAGAACCAGGCAGGGGGTGGCCGGGGCACCCCCAAACCAAAGTCCCTAGGTATGAGACCACTAGGCGCGTCTGCCATGCCCACCCATGCCCCAGCTTCCCCTCCTGATCCATCCCATTGTCATGCCATAGGAGCTGGTCTGGCAGGCTGGCCGGGGCTGCTCGGCCACATCCTGGATGCCCAGGCCCGTCCTCTGGTCCTCTGCCCTCCTGCTGGAGTGAGGGAGAGGGCCATGTGGCCCAGTGGCACTGCGCAGCAGCCTCACCTCTGCCCTCGCCGCCCCCCACCTCCTTGGCCCCCACACATGCTGGGCTCCATCTGACCTCCAGACCTTGCTCTCGCAGGTCCCCGCATGGCATCGCTGCCTTCTTGCCTCTGGGCCACAAAATCCTCCTCACCCTTCAAAGTCCTGCGGCCCGTGGCTCTCCGAGTGCTGCTGAGACGATGCGGTGACACCACACGGCCAAGGGCCAGCCGCTGGCCGGGCCTCAGTCAGCGTTGTGTCCTGAGTCCCCGTGTCTGTCACGCCAATCTCAGCGCCCAGGTCTGCAGAGGAGGGCAGGAGAAGCATCCCATCAAGCCCGGGCGCTGTCTGCGGGAGACGAGGGGCCCAGAAGTGGCACCCCTCCTTCAGTTTTCCCAGCTCCCCCTGCTTCTCCTAAGGCCCACGTGCCCCTCACCCTCCTCCCCCAGCCAGGACCGGCGTCCACACAGCCCGGCCTGGCCTCTGCACCTGGCTCCTGCGACCTGGGCGGGATGGGGAGGACATACCCATCGCCCGGATGACAGCGCTCCGGCACGTAACACATGAAATGACTTGGCCTAGGTCAGCCAGCCAGCCTTCCTCCCCCCACCACCCGTGGGCCTCAGCCTTCTTCCTGCGAAAGGGAGACCCCCGCCCTCACTGCCACCCCCGCGCCTTTCCCCACAGCCCCTCCCTCCCCGCTGAGAGCGCCAGATCCTGGCCCTCCGCGGCACCAAGCGCAGCCACTTGGGGCAGGGGCCTCAGTTTCCCTGGAGGTGGGGCTACGAAGTGCTGGAAGCTTTGAGCGCCCCGCCCCCTCCGCTATCTTCTGGCCGCGGAGTAGGCGTCGCGCGGACCCGCAGCCGCGCGGAGTGGTGGGGACAGACGCCCGGCCCGGTGAGTGGAGGCCACTTACCGTGTCAGCCGGCCGCCGCAGTCCCTCAAACCCTGGCGCGGCCTGAAATAGCCTCAGACCCCGCCCCAACCGGCCCGTCCCTCTTGGCAATCGCGGAAAACCCGCGGGCGCGCGCCAAGGCTGCACGGGGCGCGCGCGCCCCCCGAGGTGGTGCCGGGGCTGTCCAGGAGGGGAAGGGTGCGGGGGGTCGCAGGCAGGGTGGCGAGACTGGCCGAGAATCCGGGTACGTGGGGCGCAGGGACCGGCGCCCAGGGCGGACTCGAATCCCTCTGGCGCTGACCCATTGTCCGACGACGGCTTCTGATTGGCTGGCTGGAAAGGACCCGGGGCTCAGGCCCACATTTCCGCGTCACAGAGTCAGCACCCACCAAGCGTCACTCCCCACACCGCGGGCTACGGAAAGGTCCCACCCTAACGTCCTCGGCCACGCGAGGATCGCCCCCTCTGGGGAGCGCGTTGCTTACTCTGGGTATCACTGTGACCACCTAGGAGCCTGGGGAGGGAGCCTTCCCGGAGGAGGCGCCCTAAGGGAAAGGGAACTTCAGGGATGGTCAGCTGTTGACAGAATCCCTGGGCCAGGCGCCTTCCTACGTTCTCACGAGCAGGACTTGCTTGAAATGAGGAAATGGCTCAGAAAGGTGAAGTGGCTTGCCAGAAATCAGGTGGGCGATGATGGCGGAGTCGGGATTCACACCCTCCTGGTGACCTCTTACCTAAGCCCTTTCCCTTTCTGGGACCAGGGCTGGGCCAGGACAGGCTCCTGGGGGCACAAGGCTGGGTCCCAACAGCTCAGGCTTGATCATCACTCAACTCAGTTTTGTCCTCCCTTGGTGGGCCTTGAGCGGGGCACACCCCTTTCTGGGCCTCGGTTTCCCCATCTGAGCCCAGTGTCTCCGGGTCTGCAGTGGGGCGGGGAGGGCGTGCTGGTGGTCCCTTCCCTAGAAATTCCTGACCTCTGGGAAGGACTCGTCATCCAGGAATTTCCCGGCCGGGCTTCTCGTGGAGCTTTGGTCCCTCCCTCCCTTGCATTTGCTCCCCTCCTCCAGCTGGCTCCCCACTCCCCCTCTGGTGAGTGGGCGGGCCACCGAACTGGAGTGCCCCTAGGAACGGAGAACTTCCTTTTCCTCCCTGGGAATGGTG